CAATCAATCAATCAATCAATCCAGGAACAACTCACTACTAGCCTCTGGCTCACTCTCCCTTGTCTCCTCCCCACTGGTCCAAGGCTCATGTTCCTCCTGGTGGCCTACCAGTCTCTCTGCGCCCTGCTCGGAGTTGGAACCCTGTCCAGGGTCCTCTACATCCTCCAGAGCCGACTCAGAGGGCCCCTCACTGTCGGAGTCTGGTGGCAGCTCCAACGGTACCTGCTGGGCCACAACAGGGATCTCTCTCTTATTCCCACAGCAACTATCTTGTGAGATTGTCTGGGTGAGAAACAGCAATAGTTTCTCAAAGTTTCCATAGATGAAAGACTATTTGGAACCTGTGCTTCTCATGCTGGCTGCAAGGATTGGGTGGCCATCCAGTTGTTACAATTCCTGGAAATCCTAGCCACCAAAGCCATGATGAAGTGTATTGGTAAACAACATTTATGAGGCTCCCAGGTTTGTGACTATCCAGCATTCCTCCCTATTAGTTGTGCCAGTTAGGGCCAGGAAGAATTACAGTACAGCAGCCACAGGAAGTGGGCACAAGTTCTCCATTTCTGCAACAGGATAAAATCTATTATTAGCTGAACTTCTATCGAACAAAGCAAAAGCAAACCCAACATTGCTCACGTATATATTTACTAAATATTTTTGTATCTTCATATGCTCTGGAGATGAAAACATTCCTACATCTTAGTCTGACACAGTCTTCTATTTGATTGAGGTAATTTAAAAATAAAACACCCTCCTCTGTTCCCTAAGATATAAACATAATTTTACATCTTACAATTTGTATACAAAAGAAGCCGAGAAGCCTGAAGGACCAGCATATCTAACTCATCTACCCAGTTTTAAATCAACAGACGACTGTTCCAGTCTTAATTTTATAATACCAAAGTGGTGCTTAATGTTAGGAGGCATTTAATTGTTCTGAGCTAGTCTGCATTTCAGGCCTCACATCCTATCCTCACCACTTAAAACACTCTGCAGTGCTAATATTCGTGTTGGAAAGGCTGTTCATCGCTTTTTCAGCAATGTCTGGGGGGAAAAACAGTCTCTTGATGTTGCACGCTCCCAGTGGAAAATCACAACTAATTTTAGTTTCCCAATTTGCATACATACAATGCAATGTATGTGTTTATGGCCTTTTCCACATCTGCTGGATATTAATTCCCATAAGATGAAGTGGTTTCTCTGGAGATACTAGTGGAAGGATAGGAACCCCTGTCTACATCTGCAAAGCATACACTGTCTCTGAGCAATCCACACACATGTGCTTCCTTACTGCAGCTCACGGATGAGGAGAGAATGATAAACAAAGCTCATTTTGCACTGATGAAGAGGCTGGATAAAACTTGGATCTTTAAAATCCCATACAAAGGAGCCTCCTGATTTCACAATTTTTTTTAATAGCACCTACCAAGATCCAATATTAAAAAGTAAACTGGTTGCGTTGTTGTCTAGTTACATTTTAACTATGGCGGATCTATTTTCAGCATCATCATGCTGCAAAAATATGAATGTAAAAATGGATGCTCTTAATGTTGCATGATTTTTACTTGGAATACATAAGCAATTAGTATACTACAGATAACTTCCAACTACAAGCAATGAGTCATCTCAAGGATAGAGTTGACTATTTAAAGTACCACCTGTAAGAGCTGGTTCACAAGCTATTAGGATGGCAGTAGGGGTTTTCAAAACAACAGGTGTAGACAAATCTTGGTTACATAGAAAAACATGAGGGGGGAGGGGGGAGAAAGCAGAACTAGTTTATATTTTGCCTATGTAGAGACTGCTCATGTGAAAGTGCTCACTTGAATTATTGTTATTTAACATACTTCATAATAAATTTTACTAATCAGGATATGGACACTTGTTCTTAGGGCTAACTGTTTCAACTAGAGGCTGCTACTATAGTAGGAGCCAGACATCATCTGGTGCAAAAATTTAGTTCTATGGCATGATCCCTCATAAATCTACACCTTTTCATACAATCTTCAGGAAAACTCAATCATGCTGAATGCATTGTCTACAATGAACCATCACAAATATGGATCTGAAATCCATATTTGTGATAGTTCATTATAGACATTGCAACAACCTAATAATGACATAAAATCACATTGGAACTGTTTTTGTTATGACTCATTGTATACAGATGGGTGTAATCAGTGATTTGACAGCTTTAAGTTTAACTCATGTAAAATAAGGCAAAAAAAGCTAGGTTCTATGTTTTGTATACAGATGTTTGCACTACAGTTACATCATCACAATGTGGCCTAGGATTTAATGGTGAGGTCATACAGATCAAATAGATTTGTGATCCATGCTGCCAAAAATGGTCACATCATGACTGCCAGGATTCCCTGTAAGCAGGCAGATGTGTTCTGTTATCTGATTGTGGTTTCATATGGCGAACATGTTTTTGTGTCAAAGCAACGTCAACAGTGTGAGATCAATATTGGCTCGCGGCTTGCAGCTATTTAATGGGATGGGGACTGAAAGATTCCATGTAAGAAAATCATGTGGGTCTATACCTCACGTATGTCTTTGTGCCATGCTGCCAGAACCTGCATATGATATTCATGAACAGTGATGGCTTGTTACGTGCAGCTCACGATTTTGATGATGAGATGAAAAACATTTGAACCACAATAATGAGATTCAAGGATACAGGCACCAAATGCCTCCCAAATGTCGGTGACAAGATAATAATACATGGAGGCGATACCGTCTTATGACTTTGCTACGCTCATAACTGAACCTATGTGAAAATCAGGCGAATGAAGAAGAGCCATTTTCCAGATTCCTACTTTAGCAATGGGGGTCGGGATCCAAAATAGCGGGGGAGTGATAATAGTCAGCATGCATGCATAATAGAGCCGAGGTGGCGCAGTGGTTAAACGTAGCCCTGCAGGCTACTTCAGCTGACTGCAGTTCTGCAGTTCGGCTGTTCAAATCTCACCGGCTCAAGGTTGACTCAGCCTTCCATCCTTCCGAGGTGGGTAAAATGAGGACCCGGATTGTTGTTGGGGGCAATATATGCTGACTCTGTAAACCGCTTAGAGAGGGCTGAAAGCCCTATGAAGCGGTATATAAGTCTACTGCTATTCCAAGGGCTG